GGCCCAGCCCCTACCCATCCCATGGTCACCCGGTCCAAGGCGGGTATCACCCGTCCCAAACACATCCTCGACCTAAGCACCACTGCCCAAATCTCCCCTCTACCCCCTACATACCGTAGTGCCCTTAAGGACCAGAACTGGTATAATGCTATGTGCGATGAATTTAATGCTTTGATTAACAACGATACATGGGAACTTGTACCCCCCTCCCCCTCCCAAAATGTTATCACTGGTAAATGGCTCTTTCGCCACAAATTTGGCCCTACAGGTGAAATGTCCAGGTACAAAGCTCAGTGGGTGGTCCGTGGATTCAATCAGCGCTTCGGAATCGATTTTGAGGAGACTTTCAGTCCGGTGGTAAAACCTGCCACGGTGTGCATTGTTCTTAGCCTAGCTCTATCACATGGATGGCCTATTCATCAACTAGATGTGAAGAACGCCTTTCTTCACGACACTCTTCAGGAGACAGTGTATGCCACTCAACCATCCGGATTCCAGGATCCCACACGGCCCCATTATGTGTGTCGACTGAAGAAGGCGTTATACGGTCTCAAGCAAGCTCCCCGCTCCTGGTTTCACCGCTTTGCAGGATTTCTCCTTACCTTGGGTTTTCTTGGCTGTAAGAGTGACACATCCCTTTTTGTCTACACTCGTGGGGATGACAGGGCATATTTGTTGCTCTATGTGGATGACATTGTTCTCACCGCCTCTTTTTCCTCCTTACTTTAGCGCCTCACTCAACAACTGAAGGGAGAATTTGCTATGACAGATATGGGCGACCTTAATTTTTTCCTCGGGATTAATGTTCAGCGCACTACGGAAGGGCTATTTCTTCATCAGACACAGTTTGCTCAGGAGATCTTGGAGCGGGCAGACATGCTACACTGCAAGCCCATCTCCACCCCAGTGGACACTAAGGCGAAGCTCGGAGCTTCCTCGGGAATGCCTCTTCCTGATCCCATTTTATACAGGTCCATTGTTGGTGCTTTGCAGTATCTCACATTCACCCGCCCTGATCTCACCTATGTTGTTCGGCAGTTATGTCTTCACCTCCATGCTCCTCACAGCACTCATCTCACTGCCATGAAGCGGGTTCTACGCTACCTTCACGGCACCACTACTCATGGGATTACTCTATATCGCACCCGCACGGATTGCTTACAGGCCTATTCTGATGCAGATTGGGCAGGATGCCCAGATACTCGCCACTCTACCTCTGGATATTGTGTGTTCCTTGGCGATAATCTTGTTTCCTGGTCCTCCAAAAGGCAAGCTACCACATCCCGTTCGAGTGCTCAGGCTGAGTATTGTGCTGTTGCAAACGCCATCGCCGAAGCGAGTTGGATCCGAAACCTGCTTCTCGAGTTACAGCACCCCCTACGACGCACGACTCTGGTTTTCTGTGACAACGTCAGCGCAGTGTATCTCTCATCCAATCCTGTTCAGCACCAGCGCACTAAACATGTGGAGGTTGACATTCACTTTGTCAGAGACAAAGTCGCCCTAGGACAGGTCCGCGTACTTCATGTTCCCTCATCTTCCCAGTACGCCGACATCTTCACCAAAGGACTCCCATCACTTCTCTTCACCGATTTCAGACATAGTCTCGGCATCCGTCCTTCATCGGTTACGTAGCTGGGAGCATGTTAAATATATATTGTATATTTAATATATTATATATATATGGTAGTTTCCCTTGTATAGAAGGATTGCATTTATATTCTACCATAATTAGGAGACTTGCATCTTGTATATATTCGAGGCTTGACCTCCGAGATCAATACAGAAATTCATTATTCTTCAGGGGGTTTGACTTCTATGAGCTCCATTCCATCGGCATCCCAGTCCTCTTCATGTGGCACGGGGTAGATTGCTTCCGCGTATGCGATATACATGTATTCCTTTGTGTATAATTTACTACACAGGCTATAACAATCTATGCATGTGCGTTTTGAACAAGCGAGTGCATGCACGCAAGGTATCTTATCCTTGTCAAACACTTGACAGGTGCAAGTTTTATTTGAAAGGTTAACAACATGGTCAGAGTGCACTCCCTTGACTTCAAACTCGTATTGATTCAACTGATGACATTCCCAGCGCAAGGCAGTGTTGAATCTCTTGCGCATTTCAGCTTCAACAGCCGGGGTAACAGGGGGATTTGACGCATCGAGAGACCTTAACTCTTGTTGCCTTTTTCCACGCCATCTTGATGTCATGTTCTGGACTGCTTTTAAAAGTGCAACAATAGGAAGTTCCCTGTCCTCCCTCAACACGCTATTGATTGATTTGGCGCCATTTGTCGTCATGATTTGGTACCGGTTTATTTCAAAATACGCCCTGGCCCATCTTTTCTTTGGGATATTGTCAATGTAATTGCCAGCAGCTGGGTACCTTGCTTTCAAGTCGCCATACAACCTCTTGAATGACCGTTTGGTGTATGCGTTTGCAAGGTTCTCAAAAAGTTTATCCAACCCCTTTTTGCACATCTTTGGATAACGCTTCCTCAAATTACAAGTGATGTGATACCTACACAATCCATGATCCGCAGGGCTTATCACGAAAGAATAGGGTAAAGCTTACGATTACACAGACAGGCTTTACTTGTGGTTCAGAGATCTTAGTCCTTAATTGAAGGAATTTACCGGTTTTTTGGTTCTCATACTGTCGTTGTTTTCAGAGTCCACAATAGCCCAGGCAAGGGGATATTGGTGAAAGTCACCATCTTGAGCCGTTGCAATGAGTAAAACTCCCTTATAGGATGTTGATTTGCAGTATAGAACGGGCAAAAATAACAACTAAAAAGAATCCATTGTAAGTAGGGTGTCGAACCTCAGGGAGACGTGAGTTAATTTAATTTAAACAAAAGTTTACAAAAGAAGTTGTAAAATATTTTGGTCTTTTTGGTTTTAAAGATAAAATAAAAAGTGTAAAAGGAGAGAGTTCCAAACAACACAAAGTTTTTGATGATGAAAAGTTAGGAGTAGAAATTGGTAAATTAATTGTCCAATGTTTTTATAAAAGTTGGATTTTCAATTTATTTTTATATAGAATATGTGGGGTTGCAGAAAAGTATTTAGGGACGCTCTCGCAGTTCACCTAAATAATAATTACTCCGACTTTAACACGCTAATGATAAATCCGGAGTGATTATTTAGTAACAACGGCAACCATAATTATTTTATTGTATGTTTACCCAATTTAATGGTGTAAAAATACAACTCAATAATTATGTCCACCCGAAAGTCTTCAATCCCAGTTAAAGGTAGAGAAGGCTTACGGTGTAATTAAAAAGTGTTCTATTTTATGATTATATCAATTTTAACTCATATTCCTTGTAACAATTATGTTTATAATTTGGCCCTTAATAATCACAAACATTCCAAATTTATTTATTTTTAAATACATCTAAGTAAAAATAAAATCAACAATCCATGTTAAACATATTTAAAACATTAAGATGGACAAATTAATTACACCAACTTCTAACCCCAATGGAATTTAGAAGTTCATAGTTTGAAGCTTAAACAAACAAATATTTATTACAAACATAAAAATCTTACAAAATGGAAGGTGTGTTCTTGAGCTCCAAATATAATAGATGATGATGAAGATGGAGTAATTTTTATGTGTTTGGATGAAAAAAGTGGTGAGATATTAGTGAGGGAGGAAGAGAATTTCTAAATGGAGAAAGGGGAGAAAATGGGGGTTCCAACCTTTTTCAAAAAGAGAAGTGTTGAGTTTTTATAGATGAATTCGTATATACGGAGTATATACAAACAGTCCCACTAAGAGTCAATGCAAGCACAGTAACGCACATGGAAATGAGGCTGCTTGTCGTGCCACGTGACCCGTGTTCGAAGCTTCCCACCGTTTACTGTTTTGTCATTTTTCTTTCTCAGTTCATGGCCCGATTTAGAAAAGATAATAAACCGTAACTGCCAGAAATGTGATGAGTGAGATCGGGTGGCATGATAGGTTGAGCTTCAAATTCCCTACCCGAAGTCCAGGGTTCAAAACCTAATGGTGTTTTTCTCCTTTCCTTTTTATTTAATTCGTTCTTTTCTTCAAATCTCTTCCATTTCTTTTTGTCCCATATTTGCATGTTTATTCTCCGTTCTTGCAATTATTATCAATGCGTCCAAATGACCTCAAATTACCTGCAAAACATATAAAACCAAACATAGGACCGCTCTACCAAAATAAAACGGAAAATTGACATAAAATGTAAACATTAATTCAATTGGGACTCAAAACTCCTTTAAAATATGCCTAAAAAGTGTATAAAATATGTGCATATCAGATGTTTTAAGAAATGTTCCGTCAACGGAGATGACACGCCTCAATGCTTGAAATCCAGAAATACATGCATGAAATGCTATGAATACATACTTGAAAGCACCCCCCCTCATCAAGTTCTAGGTGGGTTGTTACAAGATCATTATTTTCTTTCTTCAACATGTGCAAGTATAATGGAAGCTTTTCGTAACTAGTTTCGGGCATCCCAAACATGGCTTCATTTGCGAACTTCCTACTCCACCAAGCCTTTGCATACGTGATCGGCATGCTCTTGTTTTTCATGAGAGTCATGATATTTTTGGACCTAATTAAATCATCCGTCCCATCAAAACTTTCTAAAATTAAATCAAGGACATATCTCGAAGTTGTTTGGCTGTGTGTTCGGCTACGGTCACCAACTGTACAATTATGTTTCCCGTTGTATTTTTTAATAGCGAATCGAGATGTGTTTTTTACGATGGATGCCATCATCATCCAAGAGCATTTGTCACTCTTGCATTTCAACACATACCTCTTCTTGTCGCTCTTCACAGTCTTTGTTTCAAAATGTCCTTGTATGGAAACATCAACCATCTTCTTCTTCAACTCTCTTTTGTCAGCAAACTCAAGTCCGATGGCTAAATCCGACCCATCTTCAAAGCAACCATCCAATGTCGCGTCTACCTCATTACCAAAAGACGTATCAAAAGAAGGATCGTCCCTCCGAATAAAGCACTCGTCCTCATTTAACTCATCATTATCACCACCAATATAATCATCTTCATCCACTTGAGCAGTTGCTGGGCTCTTCACAGGAGTGGCATTAGACTCAACGAATTGAGGATTTTGATCACACCTCCCTGCATTTTTCTGAAAAACAATATCTTCTTGATCACGCCCAGATTCTTGATCAGCAACAATCGTACAATTGAAGAAGTCATCCTGGAAGCAATCAATCAGGAGAACGAAGGGGTCAATTGCTGATTGCAATCCCAAGAGTTCTTCTTGGACTTCATGTATTTGCTCTTCTTGTTCTTTTTCTTCACGTTCAACTGGAACCATCTCAACATGCAAGGCTGTAAAGTTTTGCTTTAATTCCAAAAGAAATACATGTAGTATTTCACTTGAATCGATGGAAAAGGGTGGAATATTTTTTTCAAGCCGTTGAATTTGAAATGCAATTTTTGGCCTTTGATTTTTCATATCACAACCAAGCTTTTGAATAATGGCTTTCAAAAAGGCATCAAAGTCCAAATTAGCAACATCCCAAAACAACGAAGTTATATTCTTGCCGAATCCACTGTAAACATACTTCCCTTTGTGATCTGTGGTCCACTTTCCACCATAAACAACATATAATATAACAGGATCTGTACCCATCTGCAATCGAAAAAACATAAACAACATAAAATATCACATTTAAGTGTATTCGAAATTCGTCGAAAGAATGTCGAATAGTCGAGACCAATCGAAATAACGTCGAATATTCGTAAACATCATAATCATATCCGAATATTCCCTAAATGTTCGTATGGTTTCGCAGACTATGTTCGAATAGGGTTTCTTTCGGAGTAGGGTTTATTTCTATCTTAGATATGTAGGGTTTACCATAAGATATGCAGAATCATAACACAATTGGCTCAATTAGAGTTTTTCGTGAAAAATTACTCCTCCGTAACTCTTTAGTGTAAAGAAAAATTAGGGTATGTAATCAAATTTTGGGGTATCGAAAATTAGGGTTTACCGTAATCTCTTTCTGCTCTTTTTCCTCCTTCTACGCTACGCAATAGCTTCTAAACGCGTTCCCCAATCTTATCGTTTTGCTCTGCTTTCAAATTAGGTTGCCAATTTGCAGAACAAATGTGTAGTGTGCGTACGATTGAGGAGCTCGAGGGGAAAACTGAAATAGTTAATTTCGGGTCGGGTTAAAAAGGGGGGAAATCGTTAAACGGCTGTGGAACGTAATTAGATTCTTTCGACAATAGCTTTCGAAGAATAGGGGTAATTTGGGAATCTCACATGCTAATTTTTCGTGCTTTTAAGTGAGGGTAGATAGAGGGTAGTCTCATAATATCAAACCTTTTTTGGACATTTTTATAAGAGAAACCTTTTTTTAGGGCACTCTTATAAAGCGCCCCCATTTCTCCTCCTTCTCCACCACATAAATGAGCAAAAACTTCAAAAAAAATTCTTCTCTACAAGTTCGACACCATCTCCAAAGGGGCTTCGTGGGCTTGCTATTGCTTTTTTTTAAGCAAATGATTAGTAGGATAACAAGTCACTTTTTTTGTTCGCTTCTCCTACCATGACTTATACTAGAAATTACCATAAATAAAACTAAAACATAGAGCAAAGTATTAAAATAGAATTCTCATGTTTTTTTCTCGAAACACATTAAAATAGAGCAAAGTATTAACATAGAGCAAAGTATTAAAATAGCATTGTACATGAGCACATTAATATATATTTTTGGTAATGTACATGACCATGTTTAGTAATGTAAGTCCTATTTCAAAAATAAAAACATGGAAGTCCTATTTTCGTATATTTTCAATTTTTATTTCTTAAAAAAATGTTTTTGTCCCCAATTTGAATACAAATTGGGGTTTTCGAGGCGAAATATCTCACTTTTTAAAATTATTTTATTTACAAATTAGTATATCGATAAGAAATAAAAATTACATATTAAAAAACTATGTCAAAAGTTCTACAAAAAAAAGAGGTGACAAAAATATTTTATTTTATCAAACACTTAATAAAATCGCGTAAACAAACAAAAGTTATCGAGAGGAGAGAAAAAAAATTGTAATCAAATTGGGGACGGAGGGAGTATTATACTCCTTTTGTCCCATAATATTTTACTCATTTTGATCAACGTGAAAACCACAAGATTTTTAAAATGATTTTATTTACAAATTGGTAAAAAAAATACAAAATACAAAATAAAAAATTGTATTTAAAAACTATATTAAAAACTCTACAAAACAAGAGCTGACAAGAATATTTTATTTTATCAAATGATCAATGAAAACACGCAAACAAATAAGAGTTATCGATTGGCCATAATAGTAAATGAGCAATATTTTTTGGGACGGAGCCACGGAGGGAGTAACTAACAAATATATTTTGTTCTAATAACCATTATAATACATAAAATACAATAGTTCTTGAATTGTATTTATTCTTGTAAATGTAAAACAAAAGTAATAAATATGAAGTATGTGTTGAGGAACTTATTCAACCAAAAGCTAAAACTTGTATTTATGTCCAAGGAAATGTTATTTATATTATAACATGCCCTTGATGTGCATGTTCGCCTTTTCGAGCCTTGCACATTAAACTTTGACTTTTTTTTAAAATTGGGTGGGCACTGAGTTTCGAACATGTAATCTCTTAGTCAAGAAAGTTTTGATCCCATGTCAAAAAACCGATTCAACCACGAGCTCAGGTTTGTGGTTATGTGTAACGCCTCAAAGCATACTCTAGAATTATTAATAGATAAATATTCAAATTAATCAAACTTGTTTTGATTAAAATAAATTGTTGTTGGGCTTTAGGCCGAAATAATATGTGTTTAATATGAAGAAATTGTTTATGATGTAAACTTTGAAATGATTTATTGAAATAAATCACGAGAATAAATAATATGAATGGAATGTAAGAACCTTTTTGAGTAAAGGTCAATTAAAGCAATTTTGACTTTGTCAAAGTCAAACACCCAAAAATATGATGTCAGAAAACGTATTACAAATAATTATGAAAAATATATCATTGGATAGAATTTGTCTCTCTGATTGCAACGGTGCAATCGTAATTCAATTCGGAGAAAGCTAGACCAAAAAGTGTACCCCAACTGGAACCAAAATTGGTCCCAATCAGGGAATGACGTGTAAATCCCAGAGAGCTGATTCTTCCGCCGATTGAAGATCGGCTAAGTGACTTCATGACTCAGCATGTGCATCCTCTTCTCCTTCCCTTCTCCATATAAGGAATTCAATATTCCTTAATTCTTCACCAAAACACTCCATATTTCTTTCTATTCTGTTCTTTGTTGAGAGAGGAGTGCATTGGTGCTGCCATTTTAGTGTGGAATCGCCGGAGTTAAGAGTTATCACCGCCAGAAGTTTTACCGGAAAATTTCCAAAACCTTCATTAAGCTTCGAGGTAAGCCCGTAGATATATCTAATGACTAGAATGTTCATATAGGTCGTTTCTACGTTCATAAACGGTCGTTTGGTTGAGTTTTGTGTTTGACATGCTTGAAAAACCAAGAATCATAAACCCTTTAAATTGTTGTTAAAACTTCGAATTAATGGTATTTAAATGATCTGTGAACATTGAAGAACATTTCTATGTAGGATCGTTTTCTAGAACTTCCCAATAGGTCACCCATCTTGGGACTACTCCCATTCTAGCACGCTTAACTACATAGTTCTCAAGTTAAAGAGGTGCCAAATGCCTCCTAAAACCAATTGGTAATAGGAAGGTGGACACTTTGTATTTAACCACATCTCTCTATAGCCCCAAGCCTAAGTAGATTCCTATAGGGCACCCCCTATAGTTCACTACGGCAGTGCGGAGCCCCACTACTGAGCGGTGGATGGACAGAAGGGGATTCGCAAGATACACGACTCATGTACCTCGTCAGGTTGGGCTGTCAATACCCGATACCGTGACAAGCTCAGTAGCGAATCCCTAAGGGTGATCGATGGTCCCCCATAAGACCAACATTCTATATAGTTTAATTGAAGTTTTGTGGCTAAAAATGATTTTTCGAAAATCTAACCCGAGGTTGGAGATGAAGCAATGTTGGCTGGTTTGCAGGAATGGTCGACCGTTCTGACAAACGGTCGACCGTTCTGCCACAAAGGTCGACCGTCCCTCCACCAAGGTCGACCGTTCTGAGACCAGAAACTCCAATACCACGGTTGCAATAACGGTCAACTCTCTCCTGAAAACGGTCGACCGCCGCCTGAAAACGGTCGACTGTTCCGAACAGTGTCAACTACGAAAAATGCTATTTTTGAACTCTAAAATCTTATTTTTGATACCAATCAATTATGATTAATATAAAGATGATTTCTTGGAATAAAAATGGTATTTTGACAATAAAAAGGACCTTACGTGATGCATGACGGTAAGCTAGGGTGTTAACACTCGAAGCTAGGCCGCTATTTGCTATCGAATGATATGTTGATTAATGATAAATGATTATTATGATGATTATGACTTGATGAAACCACTGATTAAAATGATTATTGAGGATTAAATTATGAATTGAAATGAATATGTAACGCCCTACAACCCGGTCTAATAGAATTGGTTAATTTAATTAATTAATTACTGTTCCGGACCGGAGTTGGGGAAAATGAAAAGTTCTTAGAAAAATTATTTGATCATATCATTAAATTCGTCTTGACTGTCTGATTCCAGAAACACAAACGGATTTCAATTCGGACCCGTTCGGGGGGGAAAGCGCGTACTGTTCAGGTCAGATTTTTACATAACGGAGTGAATATATATTTGTAACTCCCCATGCATTTGGTTCGGCCCTCTCAACCCCCCATCTTTCCCATTTAATTGTCTTTTTAATCACCATAAAACCCCATCACTCTCCACCCTTAAAACTCCTATGGTTGTAACCCCCATTTTGTGAATTCAATCATCAACTCCATCATCACCATTCATCTTCTCTCCCTCTCTCATTTTCGGCCAAGGCAAGCAGCAGCTCAGGAATCTCCGGTGAAGCTCCGGTGGGTGCAAGGTTGAAGGAGAAAAAGAGCTAGGCCGTCGTGCGAAGCGTGGTCGTCGTTTGTCCGTTCGTTAGCACCGTTCGTTCATCTCGTTCCGTCAACCCCTTCATTTAGAGGTGAGTAGTTGTCCCTCTAATTCTAGAACATTTAGTTATAATCTATGTCGTTATATTCGTAGGGATATCGTACGCAACCTACGTAGAATCTATGCATGTTCGTAGGTTAACCATCCAACATACGTGTGTCCATGTTATGAAGTTGTGTACTCGTTAATATGAATGTTTTGAAACTTTGTAAGTTCATCGGATATTTAGCATGGAAATATAAACATTCGTTTCTAGTACTTCCAACATTTTGATGACAAACAAACAGATAAAATGGAAGTTAGCGTGCCTTGATAATCGAGTTACAGGATAATACTATCGACTATCTGGCCACGCTGGACTCCTCAGTTTATTCATCACAGCGTGATAATCGATTATTACATGTGTGATAATCGACTATCAAGCCCTGCGGATTCTTGGGTCTGAGTTGGTTTCACTGATAATCGATTACCACCTAAGCAATAATCGATTATCAGGGCTCTTTGAACTTAGGACCCTCTGAACAAACCAACTTGATAATCGATTGTCATAGGGTGACAATCGACTATCACAGTCTGCGGAACTTTGGGGACAGAAGCTGCACAGCATGATAATCGATTATCAACAGTAGACAATCGATTATCAGCCAGTTCTGAACCCAAGGCCGTCATGCTGAACAAATGGTAATCAAACACATATGTATGCATTGAATTTAACTCCCTTCTTTAATCAATGCATTCATTCCGTCATGTTCATTCTAGACGAATGTTCTAGGTTTTCATCATGTGCATACCGCTGTGGGGAGGACCTCGTGCGCCTACTACAGTGGGCCCGTCCAGGAACCTTTGGGGACCAACGGGTTTTCATCATGTTGGGCTTGTGTACGTACATAGTAGTCAGGTTACGGCTACTACCCGGTTTTGCTAGTCCACTCGCGATATTTTCGTCGTGCCCGGCTCGTTACCGTTCGGGGACGATGACTGGAGTGCAGGGGTGATCTTGTCGAGTGAGACTAAGCGAGGGGTGTCCCTGATAGTTTAAGTCATGCATCAAGTCATATCATCATCATTATGTTCCTTGTTATTTGAAATAGCTTTAACAGGTGAAAACTAAACAGTTAGTAACGTGTAGTGTCCCGTACGTTAAGTACAGGTATTGATATGGGTATAGCCATATGGGTTATCACTTCATGTTCTTTTGTTAGATTTACTCCTCAGCTTTTGCTGAGCGTGTAGTTATTTTTGCTACACGCAGGTAGACATGACGGAGCAGGTGCCAACCCTGGAGAGCGGTGACGATGGGGAGATGGGCGGCGCACGAACGAACTCTTAATTACTTTCAATAACTTCATTAATCAATTGGGCATGAACCCACCCTTGTCGCTACTTAATTTGGACTGAACTTATTTAATTACTTCCGCAATTACTCTGCACTTTTATTACACACGTTTTGGGAGTAACTCCTTGGCATTTATTTCTCTAATTAAAACCCAACCGTTTTCTTATTAAATAATCATTAATGTTTTCGTAACGGATGGTTCTCGGACTGTCCATGTAACCCTACCGGTCCGTTGGGTCGCGGGTGAAACGGGTTCACGGAAGGCGGGTGTTACAGAATATGTTGATGATTATGAAATGATTTGGATTGTAAGGATATCTAGAAGAACTCTAAGATATACCTAGGTTGACGTTGGTTTCTAAGACTATCTAGAAGACCTCTAAGATAGCTTACAAATAGGTCTTGCGGGTATAATTATGAATTTTCGGTGGCCTGAGTTAAAACGTACGTACAGGATCTACAAACCAAACTTGAGGCCTAGCTTAAGGGTTAGTTAAGAGTACCTTAAACTGGAATATAGTTTAACTATCTTAAACTAGAAATCGTTTAAGAGTTGGTAAACATCAAATAGATTGGCCTTAGACTAAGAATAGTTTAAGGATATTGTTGAATGAGGATGTTGAATGTTGAATATGAATATTGAATGATGAATGTTGAATATTGATTATTGAATATTTGAACTGAACACTTTGTGCATGATATCAAATGACTTGATTATGAATTTGGATTCAATTTATATGGATGTTCGACGCATTAGATATGCTTACTCAGCTTTACCGCTGAGCGTGTAGTATGTTTTATTTGCTACACGCAGGTTAATAGAAAAAATGATGTGACGTGATTCTGGAGGCAGACGGAAGCGAGATTGTCGGAATGGATGTGATTGTTTTGCATTAAAGAACATAAATAAATTATGATATGCTAAGCTTCCACAATATTGAAAACTCCATACTGTATATGTTACGAAAAATATTATTGTGATAAATAAAAGTGTTTGAAAAGTTTTAAATTTTACGATTACCAAGTTAATACTTTAGTCCGAAAGGGGCTGCAGACCTGGACGGATTAGGGTGTTACATTATGTCCGAGGAAAGATTATTTATATTCTAACAGTATGTAATTAAAAAGGATAAAATAAAATATTTCTAATTAAAATAAAATAAATCAAACAACTCCTCCTATGGTAAAAATCACATTCACATTGAAAAAACAAAAAATGTTATACGGAGTAGGGGTGAGCAAGGACCGAACCGATCCCGATATTTACCAAAAAAACCGAGAATACCGAACTGAAAAATACCAAACTGATAAAGTGCCGAAAAGAAATCGGACCGTACCGAACCAACGGTCGGTCCGGTATTTGGAAACGGTGTGAGGTTACTTCTCATACCGAAATTCCTGAACCGAACATATATACTAATATATTATAAAAATAATAACTTTTTTATATTTCTTCATTAAATAAAAAAATTATATAGATAATTTAGTTTAATTTCATTATGTTTAAGTTGCACTTTAATAAAAGTTTTTTATTTTTGTAGATGAGTATAAGAATATTAACAAATAATTGAAATATTACTTTGTTATCACTCTCTTTAGTTTGTGAAATATAAACTAACTTTCATAAGCATTTCTTACATTTGATTTTTTCATTTTTAAATTTTTTCTTTCTTTGATTAAATGTCTTTCAATTTTTCAAAAATAAATGATTTTTTTACATTTTATGATGTTAACAAGGTACGTATATATTCATACCGATTTGTACTGAAACCGATACCGAAACATCCCGAACCATACCGAACCGATGCTTCGGGATCGGGATTGATACAACGTAAAATCCCATACCGAACCGAAATATTTGGTACGGTATCAGTACGAACTAGATACTGTATCACGCTCACCCTAATATGTAGTATTTGTGCAATATATATCATTACAAAATAAATTCACATTAATTTTTGTTTAGCTATATTCTAGCATGCTTGTTATAAATAGCAAGTTGTTTTCATTTTTTAGCAAGCTAGTCAAATTTTGAATAACCCCTTGGAGCATAAAATTTTGTATATGTTTGTCAAATTATAACATATAGCAAGTCATTTTGCTATGGTTGGAGATGCTCTTATGGATGGATGGGTATCAAGAGTTTGGTCCAAATGTTGAACGCTTGACGGTGGATTATAAGACCGGTCGGAACGCCATTTGGATGTGACAACACCAGTTGATGATGGGACAAGCCGAACGCGCCCAAACCACCTACCCTGCAGCACGGAGTTCAAACCTGACACGAGAATAGCTACACTAGAAATCACAGGGGATGGCTACAGAGTAGGCTTTATAGTCTTTTTCAAGCCTTGCACGTGAAACTTTAAATTTTTTCAACTCGATGACACTGAGTTTCAAGCGCATGACCTCTTAGTCGACAAGGCCTTGATACAATGTAATGAATCAATTTAACCTAAAGTTTAAACTTGTGATTGTAGCCCAGAAAATGGTTTTTATATACTTTAACAATTATAATACTACACAGAATAAAAATGAGTACCAAGACAATAGAATGTGTACTAACACAATTCAATTCATTCTAAACTTACACCTTTAGCTGTTGTCGAGCTCTAGATAGATCAATTTGCCTTCTTCATCGTCGATTGAAGCAACATCGCAGCCGCTTCCTCGATCTTGCTGGATTTGACACATGGAGGGCAGGCGATGGTTTGCACGCCGATGGATCCCAAATTGTGTAGCCTCTAATCGGCTAGGGCTCCTAAATTGCTCGGCCTCTATTTGGTAATGGCTCCCAAATCGCATCACAACAGCTCCAAATCAGCTAGATCTCCAAAATTACATCGGCTATACGGAAACCATACTGCCGGTTGTAGGATATGATATGCTTACGACAGTAAAAATTTAAATAGAATATACAGTCAGAACGGGTAAACCCGAACAAAGCGGATGGTGTGGAACCAAACCCTAAATCAGCACAACAGAGCAGCAAGCATAGCAGGTTGGCAAAGACCCTCCAATATAGAGACTACATCACCAATCTCACAAAGTAAAAGACAACAACAAGATCAAGGCCCGCATGCGAGAAACACAATAAAAAGTAATACAATAATAAGCTCATAGGTGGCCCAAGATAGAATATACCATAAGTTTGACTTTACAAATCACACCCTAAACATTGAGAGGTTCTCGATCAAAATGTCTAGCACGCTTAACTTTGGAGTTTTTAAGTGATGAGCTCTCAAAAAGAAGATGCACTTTATTGGTATGAGTAGTACTATCAGTCCTTTTGAGCTTTTTCTTTCCCAATCCATTTATTTTCAAATTGTGGTATTACATTCACCCCTACTTAGGAATGCAATGTCTTCGTTGCATCTCTTTTTATCAAACCCCTAGATCTTCCCCGTTATGTGAACTAAGATCGTTAGTCCGTCACGATCGTAGGGTTGCTCTGATACCATTTGTAACACCCCAGCCCCCACCTTGGCTGTAAGTGTTCGGTTGTAGGATTGTAGACTTGCCCCACAAACCAACACAAGTCCTTCCCGCGCACTTTGTCATCACTCGTGCGCGCCCAAAAAACTTTCCAAGGGGTCACCCATCCTAGAATTGCTCCATGTCAAGAATGCTTAAGTATAGAGTTTCTTAGTGATGAGCTCACGAAAAGAAGATGAACTGTGTTGGTATGAGTAGTATTATCAGTCCTTTAGAGCCTTTTCTTTCCCAACCCATTTATTTTCAAATCAGGGTATTACACTAATAGCTATGTCCAAGATGGTTAGTTGCACTTCAATTCATTTCCACTGCCTTATGGCTTCCCAAATCTGTCTGATTGCAATGGTGCAATAGAATTTCAAGTTGAATAAAAATGGACCACACAGTGTGTACTGATTGGGACCATTTTAGTTCCAATCAAGGAAGAGTCGTGTGAAACTACTTAGATTTGTACTTAGTCATTTGAGGATCACTGATTGAAAGATTTCGTACAGGAACTCCCATGGCCTCTTCCTCACCCTCTCCACTATATAAGGAGCCTTGAATTCTCCTTCACCTCACCACCAAACTCATTAATATTACTTCTATTGTGTTCCTACGAGTGTGGAGAGTAAGCCCCCATAGTTCGCCACTATCGAAATCACTAGAGATAGTTGTGGTAGCCGCCTAAAATATTGCCGTAAAATTTCCATTTCCATCGTTTAAGCTCGAGGTGAGACCCTAGATATATCTAGTGATTAGAATGTTCATATAGATCATTTTTACGTTCATAAACGGTCATTTGGTTGAGTTTTGTGTTAGAAAAGCTAAAAATATATTTTTGATGAACCAAGAGTCCCAAACTGTGGAAATGAAAGAGTTGAAGGCTTAGTTGAAAGAACTGTTAGATAGGGGATTCATTCGCTTGAGTGTGTCTCCATGGGGCGCGCCATTCCTTTTCTTGCGAAATAAGGATGGGTTTATGAGACTTTGTATAAACTACCAACCACTCAACAAGGCAACTGTTTAGAATCGTTATCCGATACCATGCATTGATGACATGTTTGACCAGCTGTGAGTGGAGAAGGTTTTCTCAAAGATTGACTTGAGTTCAGGGTATCATCATATCCCCGTCAAGAAGGAGGACATACCTAAGACAGCCTTTAGGACTCGCTATGGACACTCCGTGTTTACTATGATACCCTCAGACTGACTAACTCAATTTTCGACAGAGCTGTCGCAACATACTTAACTTGTATTAACTAACATTAGTCTTTTCGATGTTAACTTGTACGAATTATGCCATGATTCGTTTGCTTAACTTGTATTAACACCATCTCGTTGAAATAACTATTTGAGGCACCATTGCTTCATTGTACTAACACCGGTCTCATCGAAATATCTATTTGGGGCATCGTTGCTTCATCGTACTAAAATAATGAGTTACTCTACTCTAACAACGAGTTACTTAATAAAATAATTATTATGTTTGAGCACGACACTAGGTTGTCAAAAAAATATGCATGTTACATTTGTATGAAGAACATCTGATTAAAATTTTAGAGAATGAAGGAATGACTCGAATGACTAACAAGAACAATCGATCAAGAAAACAACAATGAGGACTGAAGATATTACTCGGATGTCTTATTTGCTATCTTAAACCAATGATTCCCTCAGCTCAAAAAAATGGAGGACTTTTTGATAGGAAATAATAGGTGGCCCAACCCAGATTTCTGGATTACTTGTGACGATCAATTACGCGACATAAATTATTCAAGACAAAGTCAGAGATAGGAACAAAAAAATATATCGAAGTGATGCATAAATATTCGCTGGAATTTGGGGGAGATCTTCACATGAAGACCTCATGGCCTTGTCCTTTGATTATGGTGAGGTTCATCCACCCCTTCCCTTTATAAGGGAGCATTACAACCAAATAAAGGGGACACCACCATCCCTACACACCCATCTTTTATGTTAACTATGCTTCATATTTATTTTCTCTCCTTTTTAGCGTGTTCATATTCTTCTCAAAGAAGCTTTAAGTTTCCTTTAATGGCTTCCAAGCCACCACTATGTACCGTGTACAACCTACGATATTAATAAAATCTTCTCTGTTTGCAAGGCATTGAAAAAATGAGTTGTGGTTTTCCCTGATTGAGTTCCACGTAAAGATCTATGTGTTTTATTTTAGTGTATTTTGTTAGACTAATTGATCGTTTTTGCCCGACCAAGAATGTTCATTTTGAATCAATTGAATGTTCATTTACACCAAGAATGATACATTAATTAAGATAATTTACACCATCAAGAAGAATGTTCATTTTGAACCAATAATGATACATTAATCAAGATAATTTACACCATCAAGAAGAATGTTCATTTTGAATCAATTGAATGTTCGTTTTCAATTATAGTGTTAATTTTGAAGTCTTTCAACATAGTGTTCATTCTGAAACAACGTAGTGTTCATTGTAAAACGTATTTATTTTGAAACAACATAGTATTTATTATGAAATAATGTAGTATTTATTATAAAATATTTTTTAGAGTTAATACTCATTTTGGTCTCTCTAAATGTGATCATGACTCAATTTGGTCGTTGTAAGTTAATTTGAGTCAAACTAGTCCCTATATATAGAAAATAATGTGAATCAAGTTAGTCTTTCGAGCGGAATTTATCTCCTAAACTTCTGAGTTATCACATTAATTGAAGCAAGAGCAATGACTTATACTTCGTATTAGTTTTTGTATCAATTAATGTGTTAACTTAAAATTTTAGAAGATTAATTTCGCTAAAGACCTAATTTAATTTATATTTTCCAGTGGGGTCCCATGACATTGGAATCCCATGTCATGGGATGATCCGGGGGCACTCCAGTGCTCCGTTTGTAAAATTAACGGTTCCTATCCCCTATCCCCCCTATAACTCCCCCCACCCCGCTCCGACTTGAACACACTCCCCAATCCCCTTCAATTGCACCCCACAAGTTAATTATAACTTTGGAGTCAAATTTTGACTCCAAAATCAAAATTAACTTGTGGGGTGCAATTGAAGGGAACGGTATATTCAGGTCAGGGTGGGGTGGAGGATTTATTCAAAGGATAAGGGGGACCGTTAATTTTACGAACAGAACAGTGGAGTATCCTTGGGTCATCCCGTGACATTGTCGAGTAATGTAATAGAAACCATCTCCTATATTTTCTAGTTAGATGAACTAATTTGACTTAACTAAACTACCTGATGAAATTAACTCTTGAATGCACGTGAGACTAAAATAAGTATTAACTGTTATGAAATTAATGATTGTTCATTTATTCAATTAATCAGGCTTACTTTCTAGAATAGTAAATTAAGACACTAATTGATGAATACTAATTTTGTACGGTCCTTCCCACTTGGATTTGTATTCATACCAAAGCTCTCCATTATAAATAGAGGTCTAATCCCTGCATTGTAATCACCATTAAGAATAAGAAGAAGAGTGAATAATTAATAGAGAGAAGAAATCAGAAATATATTATATCTATTCTCTTAATCTCTGAGTAGTTTTTCACTCATTTTATAACATTAACTCATTTTATAAATAGTACTCCTTGTGTCCCATTAAGTGTTACCCGTTTTGACTCTTTAGCAAAATAAGGGAACCATTTTTTTCCATTGATTTCCCCACTTTACCCCTCACCCTAATCTAAAAGTAGAAATCCAATCAAGTCATGAATATTGTAAAGTAAGGGTAGAAATGTTTTTTTAGGAAAATGTGTAGTTCTTTTTGGACAAAAATTTTATGAAATATATTACTACCTCCATCCCATTTTATAACGCCTGTTTCGGTTTACGATGTTTGCCTGAAATTATTTTCAAACCATTTTATATGACAAACGGTATAGAATTAAAAAATAAAAATTACATATTAAAAAATTACATCAAAAGATCTACAAAACTAGTAGTGACAATAATATTTTATTTTATCAAATTGCTAACGTAAATAAAGAAAGAAATTGAATGAAGTTTGACCCTGTAAATAGTAAATAGGCATTATAATTTGGGAATAAGGGAGTACAAAATATATTTCTTTTTGGGTTTTTGGGAGTGAGGTAGTATTACAAATTTATCTCGATCTAAGCAATTCAGGACGAGACTTGAGAAATTGCCTAGCAAATTGGTATTGGTTCATTCGCTAAAGATTTTGACTCCAGTTTTCTCAAGCTGCAAGAGGAGAAATTGATCGGGTTGTGATTGGGAATGGACAGCGACGAGGAGGATTTCGTCTTCTTCGGAACGCCGATAGAGAGGGAGGAGGACGCCACCAGCCGGAAGAAGAAGGCCGTCGCTGAAGCCTCCGGGCAATTGCGCACCCTTCCCTCTTGGAAGCAAGAGGTAATTCTTCACTCAATCCGCTATATACTGCCTATGTACTGAACGATACAGAGGGTCCTAAGGTCCCGCTATGAGTAGAACTGCAGAAACTTATGTGTTTGTGAGATTGGGCACCATGAGAGCTTCTGTTGGGACATACTTCATAGTAAACTGTAGCATTCCAGTCACTGGAAGTGAATGTTTTAATACTCCTTAAAATTTAATTGCTAATGTAATTTTGAAGCATGCCCATAGTGTATAGTCATGTGCCCACAGTGTATTTGTTATGGCTGCTTTGTCACCTGTTGGTGCAACTCAAAATTCTTAATGTATTTTCTACACATAGCTGAGTTTTCTGGGCCTTTTGGTTAGTTTCTTTTGAAGCCACTATATTTGTCACTCTCCAGTCTCCACTGGCTTGCATGTATTGTATTTAGAAACGAACAAGAGTTTTGACTATTTGGCATCATAGCTAGTTAATGCTAATTGCTAGAAGCCATTGATTTCCAGGTCAGAGATGAAGAGGGTAGAAGAAGATTTCATGGTGCATTTACGGGTGGTTTTTCTGCAGGATATTTTAATACAGCTGGATCAAAAGAAGGTTGTTAGATTTACTATTATAGAGTGTTTGGTACATATGAAAATATGAAGCTATGGAAGCGTGAAATTTTTAGATATTTTTGAAAGGTGGGAGCATATTGTTTTGTGGTCCCCTTAATGCTAGAATGATTTGGTCTAATTTCCTCAAATTAGGATTAAGGAGATCACAAATTTAATACCTAAGGGTGAATATTCTTTTCCAGGAAAGTGTTCCCTTAATTATTGTGAAAGCACCACATACTCTCTTATTACTTTAGTTCTTATCTTATGACTTGACCTTCCTCTTATTTGTTATGTTACCACCATGGCACAGGATGGACTCCACAATCATTTACATCATCTCGGAAAAGCAGAGCCGAATTCAAGCAACAAAGCATTTATAACTTTTTGGATGATGATGAGAAAGATGTACATTCCCTTCTTTTACCATTTCTGCTTCTCAAAAGTAAGTTAACTAAGATTTTTTTAAAATATGAATTATTATATAGGAAATGGAAGGACGCCTTGGAACATCACTACAATACGATACATTTGGATTTACTGCTGCTGAACTTGCTCGCAAACAAGCTGAGAAGGAGCAAAGCCAGAGGTAGTATATGCTATCTCATGTCAAACTCTTGCGCACATGCAGGCATGTACACGTATGTACACACTCACATATATGTATATTACTATGGGTGCATAAGTGTACATGCATGTGCATGCATCCTCAATTGTTGTTTGTAATGACTTTGTTTGAATATAGATGCTGTGTATAGTTGAGTGTTACAAACACATTAAGTAATGTAGAATAAAAAGATATTGTTCCTTCCTTGCCCGTGGCTGGAAGGAGGGGAGAGGAGTACGTGACTAGCTTCTCATAATTAGAGTTTTGACTTCAACTATTGATGATTTTATTAATGAATGTAACACCTCTATTTATATTACCCCAAGAGTCTTGGTGAGCAAGTTAATAGAGTCCTAATTTAATACAAAGTGAAATATTTCTATTAGGAATATAAACTAAAATAGATTATTAATATTTAATACCAATAGGAAACAATTACTACCAGTACTACTAATAAAAGAAAGGAGTAATTATATTACTTTTAATAATATGAAACTAATTCTTAAATTACTAAATAATAGTATAATACGTAGTAGTAATAATAATGATGATGATGATAATAATAATAATACATTTATAATACTATAATAGTATCATCACACCCCCTCATAGACATGAGCTTGTCCTCAAGCTTGCAGAGAGAGATACGTTGCACGGGCACTTTCCACGATCAAATGACACCAAGTGCAAGCCCTCTGTTAGTAGAGTAGACCTCTTGAAACAACCAAATGTCGGTATTACACCAAGAAACCTCAAGCGTGGCTAGCCGATGAATTTTGCAAAACTAAATGTTGCTCACTAGTTGTGACGTAAACAATTACTACACCATCATTATGCAACATGACATGTGCATTATCAACCCTGAATTCTTGGCTTGGAAAGTACGGACTACGGAGTTTTACTGGATTGTTTGACCACGGTCTTTAGCTGTTCACTAGCAAATTTGGCAATAGCTTCATGATGTGCATGTGGTAATGATAGTAAGAGAGCAGGCGAAGGTTGGACTGGTGGAGGCAACACGATTGTTGAGGATGGGCATAAAGCATCTTATAAAGTTGTTGACTATATATTCCCTATTGGATTCATCAGTGTTTCCCTGAGTGGATCTCTCTCTCTCTCTCTCTCTCCTTCTTTCTCGCTCCTTTTTAAAGCTTCTTTGCATGCAAGTGGGGCCACATTTTGGAGATGGAAAAGGAAAAACATGGCATTGAATATTGTGAGGAATTATAAAATGGAGGAAATGAAAATGGAAAATCTTTCTCCCAAAATAACATGCCCTCACTTTTTTATTATTATTATTTATAGCTATAGCTATCATCATATCCAGAACACATGTTTCTGTCTTTGGCATATGAATGCTACTTTCACAAGTTTGCTGGAACTTACTCTCATGTATACTTATCTCTACAAGGTGGCTAATGTTTCATCTTTATACTTCTTGAGAATTCATTCTATTAAGTTTTCATTTTTTGTCTGATGTTTAGATTGTGTGTTGCAGGCCGTCAGCTATTCCTGGACCTATTCCTGATGAGCTATTGGTTTCTGCAACTGAATCCATTGGTATGTTTTGATTGGATTGTGGACATATTTTTTCATTGAGTCTTCTATTATTATGTAACCATGTCTTTGTGCATGAGGTTTTTCTTTAATTGGCAAGTATCTTCCATACCAGGAGCAAAATTGCTGCTGAAGATGGGATGGCGCCGTGGTCGTTCAATCAAGGACTCCAATGCTCAATCACTATATGGTATGCCCTACTCTTTGGCATGCATTTGTTCACAAATTTTTCCCTTCCTTGATAACTGGCGTCTCCTTCCTTTTACTGTGAAGTATTGCTCTATCCCCCCACATTTTTCTTGTATACGAAAAGTACACACAGAGTAAGGTTTTTTTTAAACGACTCATATATTCGTTTTTAAGGTTACAGATATATTACAATATTAATTTCAAACTCTTGTTTTCAAGATTCAAAAGCATTTAATGTAAGGTGAGTTGATGTATGCAACTTTGGATCGTTAGTGAAAAATATGTATTGAACTCCCGTTAGGAAAATTATTTTGGGACAAAATTATTTGGGCTAAAATGACAATCAATTTGGCTGGGACAAAAGGTTTACTATTTCTCTGTTCTGAAATTTCATTTAGCGAGAAGAGTTCAAAATAATAATAATAATAATAAATAATAATAATAATAATAATAATAATAATAATAATAATTTGTAATTGATATGAGAGTTGTGAATACATTTTAATTTTCTCTAAGACCTTTTTTGTATAAATTTCTTGGGATTAACTTTCCAATACAACTTGCTCCTCCCATCCACCCCCATACACGCACATACACTCCCCAAAAAACAAGTTATAAAAATGTTTTTTTTATTGATTTGATGTCTAGTTCTTTTCCCATTTGCTGTCAAATTTGGAATTGATTTCATTCTATCTAGACTCAACTTCTAAATAGTAACAAGCAATGTTGCATCAGATTAACTATTCAATGCAACTTGTCTCACTTTTGGTACTTCAGAGGTTCGTCGAGAAGCCAGGAAAGCCTTTTTGGCACTTTCTTCTGATGGCACAAAAGATCAGCCTCTTGATTCTGAACAGTTCGAGCATAAAATTAGTCCCATTGATCCTCCAATTGAAGATGATAGTCAGTTTTTTAAAAGCACACCTGTGCGTCTACTCCTCTTTTTTCTTGCATTAATACTTTACTATGTGGTTCCCATATCAACCATTATTTTTCATTTATCCCCTTTATATGCTTGGACCTTGGTACTCTGGTAGCATTATTCTTATTTTTCCTTTATAAATTTCTTTTGTATAAAGGAAATTTATACGACCAAAAAAAAGGAAATTTATACTACTTGCTGCTTACCGTTCTGTGATCCCAAGGCTTCTTTCTAGTCCTTCGTGAATTTTTCGCGGATGGCTACCTTGAAGATGGTTACCTGTTTACTCATTATAAAGATGAGGATAGAGTGAAATAGAAGTTCCTTCTTTTCATGAACAATGATCATGTAAAATATTAAAAATTAAAAATGTATCTCTTCGAGGTTCTGCTTAAGAGGACCCTGCATTGCTACTAGACTGAAATAGTGATGGTAGTGTCACATTATGCATTTCACTATCCACACCCCCCTTCCACCCATCAATGTACATTAGTATGTTTGATGGTGTATACTTATGGCTCTCATCTTCCACTTCTTTTCTTGAGTGTAGGATTTTGTCCTTAGTCCGAAACAAGACCTTTATGGCTTAGGGTTTGATCCGTTCAAGCATGCTCCTGAATTTAGAGGTATTACTATTATTTATGTAAATAACTTCAGTCTTATCTCACAATCATCAGTTTTTATTTTGTGAACACTTATGTTTTGTTGCTTTATCTCTAGAAAAGAAGAGGTTACGGATATCTGAAAACAAGGGGATGGGACGTCAAGGGCCTCTTTCAATGAAGGATAGCCTATTTGGTTTTAAATGTATGATTCTCATGTGTAATTATGTGCTTGTAGTTACTACCCTTTTTTCCTTGTGTTACCACTATAACTTGCTATCTTATATTTGTTAGCTGGCAAGGTTGCACCTGGCTTTGGAATTGGGGCTCTTGAAGAGTTAGATGTTGAAGATGAAGATGTGTATGCTTCAGGTTGGTTTGTTATACTTCACTGCATACATATACATGCAACTCAGAGATTCGAAATTCCAATTGCATTAAATCTTGGCGGACAAATCTTCTTTACTCCTTAAGGTCTTTATGGCGTGAATGGTTTCCTATGTGTTTGTTCCATTCTATGGCGCACCTCCACACCCATTCTTGGTTTTGTTACAGAGTACCATTACTGTTTGCATATTTATACAACAAGTGCCTCATAATGTTAGCTGGTGATTAGGCACTTGCACTTAAATGATCAAGTATAACTGTAGCATCCCTTGAACTAGTGTTAAGTGCAAGCATGCTGGATCTTGTCCAAGGTTTCCTTGGAGGAGGATAGATAGAAGCAAAGGTGTTCAAAGAATAATCAAGTCTATCCTGCCCTAGGTAGTGTGCTTTGGCACTGCTTAGACTCAAAATTATTGCTTCAAAGATAATCATATGCTACGTTTGTCCCAAAATAAAAGACAAAATTTGGTTTACCATGATTGGTTGAATTTATTTTCATGTAAATTTATTTTAAAATTGGTGTAGAAATAGAAAATTATATATATATATATATATATATGTATGTATGTATGTATGTGTACTACAAAACACGAGGTGACACGACTACATTAGTACATTATTTAGTCAAATTGTTGATAGCGTTAGACCTTGTGAAATTGTAACTGTGTTTTTAATTTTGGGACGGATGGAGTTATTCCAACTTAAAACCTTTGTATAGTCTATTACAAGAGGTAGACGAAAAAAGAAAAAAACATTTCAAACTAATACACTTTTTAATAGGAAACTGCATAATTAAAACTAAAATGATTGACCTTCAAAAAAGAAAAAAAACTAATATAATTGATGATAGGATACTACATGATCAATCCTCTTGACTTGTGCTGTACCCAAAGATGCTTAAAGAGTCAATTACAACGTTTTAGCTTTGGGTAAATAATACACCCTCCGTCCCTAAAAATTGGGCTGTTTACTATTTCGGGCTTCCCATAACTTTTGTTTTCATTGATCATTTGATAAAATAATATAGTTATGTCACCCGTTGTTTTGTAGAACTATTGATGTAGTTTTTAAATATGTAAGTTATACCTTTTATTTTTATACTTGTTTGTAAATGAAATCATTTTAAAAGAGATGAGATTTTGCACTGTTTGAAAAGGAACAATTTTTTGGGGATGGAGAGAGTGGATAATATTAAAAAAGGTACATTGGACTTCTTCTGCTTCTTACTTTTACAAAGTCTTGGATAGAAAATGCACCAATGCATCAAGAAATAAAGCAACTATACATTTTTTTGTTTTGTCTAAAAAATGAAGTTTTTTTTAAAAAGAAAATGATAAACTTATTATTCTTAAAAGTAAGAAATAACAAAAAATTATGACATGGAGTACTCGCAAATCTCAATTACCCCTTTCCTCTAAACGTTTTTTCGGCCTTGATGAATATTCTCTTATGACTGGAACAATGTGATTCTATCATCTCCGATAGAGCTAAAGATTCACTATTTTTTGGCTTTGGGTGTTCTATGTTCTAAATATAGAGGTCATACTTACCCCGCAACGGGCGGGAGCCTTTGAGGCATTGGCGTAATGTTGCTGTTGTTGTTGACTTGAACCATGCATAGGGATTGTGGCTAAGACCCTATTCTCTTCAACTTATTTTTTCTACTAAGATGAGATCAGTAGAAACAACTTTAAATTACACTAAATTCATATCAATCCATTCAGATTACATGACATCAACCTTAAAAAATTTAGATTAGATTCAATAAATTCAGACAAAAAGAACAAGGCCTAAATGCTTTTTCTTTTTGTTAGTAAGTTTCATATGCTATATTCTGGGTACTTGTCCATTTATCTTTAGCATTTATGATTGTCAAGGAGGGGTTACATTCTCTCATCAAGAGTTATTCTGTCTAATTGAATCTTTTGATCAGGTTTCGAGATTGAAGGTTCATATTTTGAAGATGTTGAAGAGTCTACATTACCAGCCGTGGAGAATGTTAAGATGTTGGATATTAAAAAACATGATGTTCTACCTGGTTTTAAGGCTGCCTCAAACTCTGAGTATCAGTTGGAAAGGTAGGGGGAATACATCATTGTCATTACGTTTCCACAACAGTTACATGCTATTGAATAGTTGAATACATGTGAATTGCTTGTTATTAAAGTGTAGTACACTTTAAAATTAAAGAAATCAATAGACATGATAGGTAAAAGAACAGAGGAGATATAAGCACCACAAGGCTCAACGGTCAATGTCTTGCATGAGTAGACTAATTTCTGTTTGACAGACTAAAATTCTGTATAAGAATTCATCACATTTAAGAGATGCCCCCTCCATCTCAATCCCCAAATTAATCTTCCCAGTTCCTACAATAGGATCCTTCCATACTAGAATTTTGCTCTAAAGAGCATTACATTATTGTATATTTCTACATAGAGTCATTGCCAATGGAGCTAAAAGAGTCATTTTTGACAATGCTTTAATAACTTCACATAAATAATGGACTACATCAAAACTTGCCAATGGGTAGTAAATGAAGCAATGCATCAAGGGTCTAACTGAAACAACCGCTTACAGGGGTAAGGTTGCATACATCTTGATTCCGGACCCTAATGGACTTGGGATTACACTGGGTTCGTTGTTGGTGTAATTCTACATAAAATATATTCTTCAAATTTTGATTTTGTGTTGTGGGATTTATGGTTGGTTCCAAAGTTGTGTTCAGGCACTCAAGTTTCATGCATTGTATATCTTTGATGCTAAAAGAAAGACATGGGTACAATGTTGCAGATTTGATCCACCAGTGGTCCCAAAAGATTTCATTCCCTCCCACATGTTTACTGTTTCTCTTGAAGTCGCCAATAGAGTCATTGAACCTCCACCGCCAGATTTTCCACCCCCCGGTGATAAGAACCTTAGAATCTTAATTGAGGGGTTAGCAAGTTTAGTAGCTCGTGCTGGTAAACTATTTGAGGATCTTTCTCGGGAAAAGAACCAGGCAAACCCTTTGTTTGGTTTCCTGACTGGAGGGAGTGGCCACGAATACTATTCAAGGAAGCTTTGGGAGGCGAAGCAGAAGCATAATGACCCCAGGGGAAAGCATTTGGAGTTCAAATTGCATCAAAGTTCAGAGAAGTTGACAGCAGAGAGCCGTGGAAATATTTTAGGAGAGAAGCCTCTAGAAAGAACTTTGAGAGAGGCAAGCCCAACTGTAACTGTTGCTGATGCCGTCAGTTTCCCGTCTAGTCTCATGGAAACATTTACCAACTCTTCGTCGGTGGGTACATCGAATATCTATGGCTCTATGCTTAACAACTAGATTTATATTTTAATGTAGATGAATCATATGAGCACTATAAATTCTTCTGATAATGTTGCCTAATGCTATATTCTTTCTGCTTACAAGTAACTTGGGAGATCTACAAAATCCTGGGATATGGGTCAAATAAGTTAGAGGATTAAATAAATTAGAGGATTTTTTTCTAGACACGATTAAAACATCTAAAATCTGCTTTAAACAGTCAGGATTTTTTCTTCTAGACACAGTTTAGACAGCTAAAATCAGATTTGAGATCTTTTTCTTTAGCAGTACCAGATTTAAGCCTCAAAGCTATTCATGTATGTGAAAATCACAATAATAAAATTCTTAAATAAAAGTTACTTAGTAACTCATATAATAATGGCAATTGCATATAAATATAATCACATATTTAAGCCACTCTTCTGCTTGGAAGCCAAGATGAAAAGAAATCAAGTTGAGAAGAAAGTTGGTGGCTATTTGTGAAAGTTTCGATAAAGTAGAGAACAAAGCAATCAAGTAGAATACTTGAACCGTAGAGAAGAAAACAGTCAACTGGAGAACAACAGAATACACTGAAGAAGAGAATTAACATCTAAATTTTGGTTTTGTTGGTTTAAGCTTTTCTTTTTGTTCAAAGTAAAGCCATCTTAAATCTTTTAATGAAAACCATGTCATGCTAAACTTGTAAAAAAAGTAAAATGACATTTTTCTTGTAATGTGTTTTATCTTTGTATATATTTTAGGAGTAAGCATCATGAGGTGTAAGCCTCAATAGCTTTTTAATACCATGGTTCTAGATAATTGAATCTCAATAGCACCTCTAGGGCGAGATTCCAGAAGCGGGAAAACCTTTCCGAGATGATCCAGCAAAACAACAAAGATTTGAAAACTTCTTGAAGGAGAAATATCAAGGTGGTCTCCGCCCTAAAGATTCAGGAGGATCAAGTACAATGTCAGAGGCAGTCCGTGCTCGTGAAAGGTTAGAATTTGAGGCTGTTGCTGAGGCTATACAGAAAGGGAAATGGGGGAAAGAAAGCAAACCCTTGAATGAGTTCTTTTCAGATACGATAGCGGTAGCCGCGTCAAGATTCACATCTAGCACAGTTGAGGTACATATTCCAGCATAGCTTACAAGATGTCAAGATGAAACATTTAGGGTATGTTTGATATTTGGAAAATGCCAAGTTATATTTTTGTGTTTGATTTTACATCATAAAATGAACAGGAAAGTAAAATATGATTAACATTTCTAAAATTTCAAATATGTTTGGATTTCTTATTCTTTACATGTTAGAAATAAATAAAAAAATAATTTTGAACAAATATCTGAAAAATGAATTTATTGAATTTGTACCAATGTTTTATTTCTTCTCCCATTTTGTTTCTTTTCTCCTATACTTTACTTTCATTTACATTTCATTTCTGCAACAGAACACTAAAGTAGATCTCTCTGCGGATTTAGCTAAAACTAAACTGTATCCACAAAGGGAAGAGTTTCAATGGCGACCTTCTCCTATTCTCTGCAAGCGTTTTGATCTAATTGACCCCTACATGGGCAAGGTAACAATCTCTTCATTGTCTTATATTTTTGTTAATGTCTTTATTAATAATCCCTTTATGAAAAAGAAGGGAAGAATTCCCATCTTTCTCTGTTATGCACACGGCCTATGTAGAAATGGAACATAATGGATTAATTTTTTGAATTTTGATTTAATTATTGACTATAAGTACCTAAAACACACTTACACACTGCTCCCACAAGTTTGGGGCTTCACTCCCTAAGGCTATGTTTGTAATTCAGAGAATGGTAAAGGGAAATAATATCTAGGAGCTTGACACACACACACACACCACAAGCACTATATTGTGATTTCTTAGTCTTTATTAATGGAGATATTTAAATAAAAGGAGTGAAATAAAATATAAAATATTGTTTATTGGGTTTGAAGCAGTTTTTATCCCCCGCCCAAGTGCCCAACCCACCCGCACATTTTCTTTCCTTCCGAATTTCCTCCATATATTTGTTTCTACTTTCTTTCCCTAGCATTTTCTAAGTTCCAAGTAGGGCTGTTCATTGGACTGAACCGGTCCAAAGTCTGAAATTAACAAATTTTATTATTCAGGTTGTGCCGAAGCAAACCAAAATACTCAAGACTGAACCGGTCCAGTCCAAGTAGACCGATTCCAAATGTCTTTTTTAAGAATTGTGATCGGTTTATCGTAGCCATGGATTTTTTACTTGGGCCATGCAAAAAAAATGAAATTACGTCTCTGAAGACACTCATTATTAATGAAAAAATCTATTAGTGATCTACTCCCTAAAATCCAAGTAGCAATGTCCAGTAGAGCTAAACAAGAGTAAACATTCTTCAAATTCAACTAAATTCTTTAACTTGTGACAAACATCAATTCATCCTTCAATATTCAAATCTGAAAAAAGTAAACACTATTTAAACACAAAAATAAACAATTTTTTCCAAAACAATGAATGAAGTAATTAAACGGTAATACTTCTCTCCAATTTTTCTGACTTTTTTCATATTAAGTTTCAGCTTGTAAAGTTGTCCACCAGTCTAATCTTTTCCACATATATGAGCTTGAAGCATCTTATATAGCATTAACAAACACTGAAAAAGCAAACAATTTATGCGTCAAGACTGCAAATGAGAAATCTTTAACTGTATGTCGAAAAACTCCCATGACAATAATCCGGGTGCTCAAACAAAAACAAAGAACAAAGGAAACCGATTTGAATATTTTATACCTTTTTGAAGAGTTTCCAACTCAAAAAGGAACTTACACAAAACTTTTCTTAAAAGAAAATAGGGCTAGGAAGAAGGATCCGCATACGGTGTTTATTGACCTTGGGTGCCAAGGGAGGTCTTGTGGAGGTGTCTTGAGTCTGGAGGAGTTTCGATCGCATACACCCGCACCGTCAAGGATATGTACCGTGGGGAAAGGACTAGGGTAAAGACCGTCGTTCTTTAGGGCCAGGGGTCTGTCCTTAGCCCTTTCTTCTTTCTTTTTTGCCTTGGTGATAGATGTCGCGGGAAACTCAAGAAGTCCCGTGACACATGCTTTTTTGTAGATGATATTGTGCTTATAGACGACACGCGCGAGGGACTAAACCAAGGTTGTTAAGGCGCCAATGTACCTTCACATTGCCTAGGCGACCTTATATGTGTGTGTGTATATATATATATGAATATTCTTATGCATAATAAAACCACTTAACCACAAAGAGATATAAGGCATAACATATGAAATAAAAGTCTACACATAATCTGAAAAAGAAAGAAGTGTTTACAAGCATTTAGAAGACTACAAATAACAACATAATTCAAAAAAGTTTATCTCCATCCCGTTGGTTTAATGACCCTAACATGCAAGTCTAAAAATTTCCATTAAAGAAGTCATTCATATGGATATCATTATCTGTATCCATAGACTCAACAAGAGGTAACAGGCGAGTGCCTGAACGCCTTAATGTTTTCTACGCAAGGCACGCTAGGCGTCCAAGGGACAATGCCTTATTGCCTAGGCGCAACCTTACAAACTATGGGCTAAACGTTAAGTTAGAACTTTGACGCCTTTCCCTACAGACCAAAGGATTCAGACTGAGTATGACCAAGACTAAATACATGGAATATCGTTTCAATGATCGGGAGACACAATCAGGGGTGGAAGTTAGGATTGACTCTCACCTAGTGCCAAAGGTAGACAGGTTTTGGTATTTTGGTGCGGTCACTCAGGCATATGGGGAGTTAGACAGGGATTTTGGAGCAGCTTGGGCTAAGTGGAGGTTGGCTTTAGGGGTGTTGTGCAATAAGAAGATTTTGCCGAGGATGAAAGGTAAGTTCTGTGTTCGTAGTCAGACCAGCTATGCTATACGGGGCAAATAATTGCGAATACATCTTTCTATATATGTCACTAGGCAATCATTTAACAATTGGTCACAAATTTTGTTTCGAACCTCATTCTTCACAAATTTCATGGTTGAAAAAGCATGGATCAACCTTTAATGATTCAAAATCTAAATTCTCTCCCATTTCATCAATATGTGGTTCCGGAGGATGATTTAAAGATGATGAAGCATTTGAATTCAAATTTGATGGATTCTCACTCGATTCTCTCTTTAGATCTGTGTCGTATTAAAACACCTTTGCATCCTATTTTGAAATTCAAATAATTATATTTATCATAACCTAATCATTTTAAAATATTTGCAATCTTACAAAATACAAATTCAAATCACAATTCACAAATAAGAAATTGGAAAAAAATCACAATTCACAAATAACAAATGTAAATACAAAAGAATACTTATTTTTTAAATTTTTTAAATGAATGTATACGTAAGAATTTAATTTTAAGTAGTGGTGGTAATAAGGCAATACTTATTTTTACGTTTAAAACAAAAACAAACAAGAAATAGTGCCTTAAATGCCTTAGTGCCGAAAAAACAAATAAAAATCTCTTGGAAGTTTCGAACTCGGGATTTCATAGATACACACGGGCGCTATTTCCAGTCGGGCTACTCGTTCTGCCAATGATATAACATGTTGTAACAATATATAGTAATAATAAGTATATACCTATATATAAAAGTATATAAAATTATGAAATTTCCGTGGGATCATGTGATCCCGTATGAATCAACGTGGGTCTGCCCCTGGCTGGGCAGTCAAGAAGACACACGTGCGTCGTATGCATGGGGCGGAGATGCGGATGTTGGAAGATAAGCTACGGAAAGCTAGGTTGAGGTGGTTCGGTCATGTGAGACTGCGGAATGCTGAGTGCGGATGTGAGAAGCTTACTGTTATACTCGAGCCTGGCCCATGAAACTCTCACTCACGTCCCACACTAACATGAGAGTCCAAGGACTAATGTTCAAGTTTTATGATCCATTTTAACTTGAATTAAAAGGTCCTTAAACCCGAAAGGCCAAAACGACCTTCGTTTTGATCCAAGGGTTCCCCTGGTCATCCCCAAACACCAAAACCCAATCCCTCAACATCCAAAATAGTTTGTGTCTCAAAAATAAAGTCTCCCCCATCTTCTCAAGCCTCAGGCTAAAAATGACAGAGAGATAAAACCCAAAACTTCAGTTTGTTGTTTTCCTTCTTTAAAAGCCTTTATTATATCAAATAAAGTGTTTCCCTTCATTCCCAATCACAAGGCCGAAATTCCCACCTTTTTTTCTTCCCAAAATCAGGCCTAAATCACCACACACAACAAAGGGACCAAAATCAGCAAAAGGCCTTTGATTGAATAGTAACT